AAAAGTCATTCGACTGTGTCGCCCAGCCGCCGCTCCACTAGGAGCACAAATCAATCAACAACAGTAAAAGAAAAGCAAAGCAAAGCCAAATACACTGTGCTACAGAAACGGCGTCTGGGGCTGGTGAACCAGTTTGGGCAGCTGCTTATTGTGATGCAATGCGGCCTTAAATGGTGCATGCGGATTGCGTCTATCGCCGGCTTCCTAATCATGCGAGCCGCGCATTTGAACCAGTTGACCAAATGCCAATGCCAATTGGACTTGCCTCGACGCAGCTGGCCGAATGCTGTCAACGCTTCCGGTCGACCGCCCGCCGCCGCCAGACTCTAACCCAATTCAGGCCCGACTGCCTGGCTGGCTGCCTGGCTGCTCTGGCTGGCTGCTCTGGAGTATATAAGCCAGCTGGCGGGCAATCGACGCGCAGACAATCATCGCGCATCCAACAGCATCAACCATGGTGGGACTCAAGTGTAGCAGCAGCCAGTGCCTGACGCTCTCGGGCATCCTTTTGGTCAGCTTTTTCGGCTGGGTAACGGCCCATCAGTTTGTGCTGCCTCCTCCTGGCCGTTCGCAGCGTTCGCTTTTTGGTCCACCGCCGTCCGGGCCGTGGAGCAGCAGCGGCTGGAGCAGCAGTCCCAGCTTTGAGCTGCCGTCGCATCATCAGGACAATCACATAACCCGGGATGAGGTGCTAGCACTGTTGGCCGCCTGGAAGGCAGCGGATGCCAAGCCGCCGCCGCCGCCAGCCAAGCCGGAACCGGAGCCGGAGCCTGAGCCGGAGCCGGAGCCCGAGCCGGAACCAGAGCCAGAGCCCGAGGAGCCAGCGCCAGGACCACAGCCGGCCGTGCCATTGACCGTCTCGCTGCCCGCCTTTGTGCCCATCCAGCTGTCCGCCATGTACACGGCGCCCGCGCCCGTGCCCGGCGCCGGTCTGGGCGCATTTGGCTTCGGTGGCGGCTTTGGCGGCGCTGGCGGAGCTGGCGGTGTTGGCGGTGCTGGCGGAGCTGGCGGTGCTGGCGGTGTTGGCGGCGGTGGTGGCGCTGGCGCTGCTGGTGGTGCCGGTGCCGCAGCCCAGGCTCAGGCGCGTTCCGGCCGGCGCAATGCGGCCCGAGGCAATGGCAATATACGCTTCCCCGTTGCCAATCCGCGCAGCTTTGCCTCCGCCAATTATGTGGCGCCACGTCCGCGTTTCTATCGCACCATCGTCGCGGAGACCGGCCAGCCCATGAGGTGAGTCGCATCCCCATATATGTATATTATCTGCGCACATCCCGGCTAATCTTGTTTTTCCAGCATTGGCGCCTTGCCGCCGCCACCTTTTCTCGCCAATCCCGTTCAATTCGTGCCCAGCAATTGGCAGTAGGCGTCCAGTCAAATCTACATAAAATCTAATACTATATGCTATATATATACTATATATATATTTTAATCGAACTAATGTGTCCATATGTCGTATATATTAATAATAAGTGTAAATAGCTCAATGTTTAACACGTTGCCCGATCTTGTTATAATTTACAATATCTTCTGTTTTTTTTTTTTGTTGTTTTTTTTTTGTAACAAATAAAATATTACTAAAGAACTACCCGAAATATCGTATGTCTTTGCATTTCTTCTTTGTGCCGCATTCGTAAAAGTTTTACAGGCTTTTGCTTTGCTTTCTCGCTTTCGCTTGCGTCTTTCTTCTTTATGTCGCATTCGTAAACGTTTTTGAATTCCACGCTCTCTCTATATTTCTAGCTCTTTCTCTCTTGATTTTGTTTTCGTCTTTCCAACGAGCTCGTAAGCGTTTTACAGGCTGAGTAGTTGCTTTTGTGCCTGAAGCTTTCTCACTTTCTCTATATACTTTGCAAGATCGCACTACTATACCATATAGCTCTATGGAAAGAATCTTTCTAAGAGAATTAATCATTCAAGGGTATTAAATCTTCGGCATGCCGCACATATCCTTACGTTCTCGATTCAATTCCTTTTTGCATCACAATCGTCAGCGTTTTACGGGCTGTATGTATGCCATGCTGGTTAAGTTTTGGGACTAATGACTTTCTCTGGATAAATTTCCAATTCATAATAATTTGTTGCCTCTAAGCCTTTATTAATTAAGAGATGTACAGGCTCCCTCTCTCTTTCTCTCCCTCTTTCTCTATCTGTTTGTCTTTACTCTTTTGTGTCCCATTCGTAAACGGTCTTACGCTTCCCGCCTATAAAATCTTCCAGTTCTTTATTCTTTATTGGCTTAAAGCCTATAATTATTAAGTGATGTGATACGCTCTCTCTCCATCTCTCTCTCTTCCTCTCTCTGTCTCCATTTCTCTCTCTCTCTCTCTATATCTTTAGTCCTGCGTAACGCATTCGTAAAAGTTTTACAGACTGGGAATTTATAGCTTTATCCGAATAGCGTCATGCCAGCAGTCTTCTTATTAACGCATATTTTAAACTTTCATCAACATAATTTCCTCTCCTTGTGCACACAAAGAAATGCTCGCCCTCTCACATACGCAGCACATGGACACAGCAGCTGCGCACGTTCTCTAAGCAACTCCTTGGCTAAAGCTCTGCATGCACTAATACTTGTGCGCTCACTAATACGCACGCACACACACGTCTTGACAAATCTGTGTATTCATCAGTTATTTATGCGGCTATAAAATTTGGTGTTGATAAGTCAACAAACGCAGCTTAATGTCCATGCGCAGCGCAATCATTCAATCAATCAATCAATCAATCAATCAATCAACTCCCTGGGGCGTCATATGCACATGCAACGTCACCCAGTTCGCGTGGAGAAATTCATGCCTCGCCCGAAGCAAATACTTTGCTTTTTTTTACACACACGTTCAGCATATCTTTTGCCAATTCACGCAATTGGCCATTAAAAATCGCATCAGATATGTTTTACGACTTGTTTCTTTAACACCCGTTGCCCGATCGTAAGCGTGGCGCCAAAAAGCAACGCCCCGGGCAGCGCAGCCCAGTTCCAGTTCCACGATCAGATCCAGTTCCATAGCTGCCAGTCGCCAGCTACCAATGAATGCCAGCTGAGGACGGCACGTTGATGTCGCGAAAAAATAAAAAGTTGCCTTGGGACAACGCCTGCCCATGTACATCAATGGAATTCACAACATATTACACTATGCAACAGCATTCGGTTGCCAGCTTTATGTGGCAATATGAACTAGTCTCCCAGTCTCCCTGCTAGATGGTCCTTGGACCTTCATTTCGCATCATTCTACTCGGTCTACTTTTTTTTTAGAAATACATTAAAAATCTATTAAAACGAACCAGTTCGCACGCGGTGCCTCAAATTAATGTTAAACAATAAACAAATCTGGAACCGGTTCATAATCTGGTTCAAAATTTGTTTAGTTTTTAAATATAGCAAATATATATAACACATATAAAATATATGAAATATATGTGCTTTCTGAAGCTGGAAAGTTGTGAGGCAACAAGCTGCAAACCAAAAGCTGAGTAAATATATGTGAAACAACAAGTTCACAGATTGAATTTAAAGTTCAAGCCATGAACCGAACCACTTTTCTCTGTAGTTTTTGTAGCCCTGCTTCTATATATATATATATTATTAAATTTAAATTTACATATATTTCCAAAGTTATTTATGAACGTTTAAAATAGCTATTAAAGTTCTTTGTTATAATTAATTCAACCTAATTTAACAAATATTGACAAATAGCAGAAATACAATGACTATATTTGGTAAATTTGTATATATGCATATACTGGAGCTTACCAGACCTCAATTATGCAGTCGTGTGTAATTTGTAAGTCAATTTGTATGCATTTTCACACATTTCATATAATTATGGGCCTGTTAACATGTTATGAAAATGGTAAACACTTTTTTTTGTTATCGATCACACAATTTTTGATCGATGGGGCAACGCCCAATTGGATGCGATTTGTAGCCCAGATCTTTATGGACTTCCCGCCCGTCGCACAGAAAGCAGAAAAAACATGTCATGTCATTTGTAGCGCCAAATTACACATCATTTGCGACATCGAGTTAAGCTTTTTTATGCGTCTTTTGATTACACATTTGGTATTGTCCACGCAAGGGCATATCAAATATATAAAATACGTAACTATAACAAAATCGGGTACACAGAATATAAACAACAAATAAATAACAAATTAAAAACGCCCTAACGCTCATACAGTACACGATTTGCATAAATATCCTTGCCGTTAATGTTGTCCTTAATGTTGTCGCAGCCTATGGTACAGCCTCTCCAGGCTCTGGTGGACGGCGAGCAGGGCGAAGGCGCCGGCAATCACACAGTTCAGACGATATATGGCCGTCTGGCAGTAGAGCAGCACAATGCCAGCGCATAAATATAATAACACGGAGATCATCCAATAGCCACGCCTGCAATGTGTTAAACAATATATTTAAAGTTAATTTAAAGTTCGAGTTTACAAAGTTCCAATTCAAATGATAAACAATTCTTTTGCTTTGATTCGAACTCTGAACCGCAACATTTAGAGTTGAATCATTGATTTAACCTCGGCAATGAATCATCTGCAGTCGAATCAAGTTTTTAAATATTTGAGTTATAAATATATTAAAAGTTAGTTTTTAGTTCAATTATAAATAATTTAAAAACGATTCTAATTCTTTCTAATTCATTCATTTAAACTCTCAAACGAACCACCTTGAGTCGAATCATATTTCAAAAACATTCGCAAATCTTTATAATCACACCCTGCACCCATTGAAAGAAACCTTTTTAACCCATAAAATGTATATAATCGTGATCAAAACGACGAGCTCAGACTATTTAGGCATGTCCGTTTGTGAGACCGCATCAATAGTATCGATAAATATCGATTTTGAGCACAGGTTTTTAAAGCAAAACTCAAAAATCATAGGAGCTAGATGGCATATACAGATGAAGAATATTTCACTTTTTGGTCATTTCCCCTTTTTATCCCTATACATTTGATGTATTTTAGTTTAAAGGAGAGCTTTGGCCTTAAATGGCCGAACATTTCATAGAGATCGGACTAGAAGCACCGAAGTTATCCAAGACAGCATTTCTCATCAATTTGAGCTAGGGCAAGAAGAATATGCACAGCTGCTGCGCAAAGTGCGAAGATTTCACAAAGTTTCTCATAGTTTAGGGCTAGGGGAAGAAGCATAGCTGCTGCGTAAAGTCCGAAGATTAAATACCATTGTTTTCTTACGGCTATTGAGTGGGATTTCGATAAAATTTCACAGATATGTTTGGATAACAGTTAAGATCATGTGAAATATGTTTTCCATTCAATAAATTCTATTCTTCGGGTTCCTTCTGTGCGCTACGCATTTCAAGATAAGATCCTAGCAATGAGACCGTGTGCGAACCAGGAACTGAACAGTCACAAGCTATGTTTTTTTCTCGCATGTTCTAAAATGTTAAGTTCAAGTGCTGTTAACAGATCCTGTTAACCAACAGTTGACACCTTGCAGTGAATATCCAGCATATAGAATGGGCAGCACTGCAGGCTGTTTGTAAACAAGGCTTGCGATTGGCTGTCGCCCTGCCAGTTCCTCGATAAAGTGCTGCCTATTTACAAACAAGAGCTTGCCCGCCAATGCGTGGATTTTAAATTTTTAGAAATTTCTAAATTGCATTTGGTTGGACTTACAATTTTTGCGGCGCACGCAGCTGTAGCAGCAGACTGAGTGATCCGAGCGCGACAATGTTGGTATGCAAAGATGGATCGGGAAGAACAATGCCATGCCTGTAATATGGATATATCTATATAGATATATATAATATAAAAATATTGATATGCGACCCACCTTCGACTGCGCAGCCAGGCTAAGCTGGCCGGTGCGCTAAGCAGCAGCAGCATAAGGAGCATCAGCAGTAGCGTTATGTGAAACGAAAAGTTCTGCAGGCCCACGCAGCACTCTCTGTCCGCTTTATGTTCATCCGGCTGCTGGTGCTGCTCTTCATTCGAACTGATCTCGCCATTATTGGGCATCAGCGACTGCTCGTTGTTGGCTGTGGACTGATCCGTTTCTGTGGTGCCGCTGCCCATGGCCATGTGCACCAAATTTGCCGCCTTTTGCCACAAATAATCCTCCAGATAGTCCTTGTAGGCATTGGATAACATTAGAAAATAAAACAAGAAGGCCAATAACAGTGCCAGACCGCTGCAGGCGCCCAACGCAACGCCGATTGTCAAGATGCCATACGTGATGGGCAGATGCGTCATAATGGAGAGCAATATGTTAGAGCTGGATGTGGAAAGGCGCGTCAGACGCAGCGCCAAGCGATGAAATGCATTGCCATAGAGCGTTAGGGCCAGCCAAACCGCCAACGCGGCCGCTATAGACAGCCCAATGGCCGTGCAGTGTATAATAATGGATATATTTATGCTGTAATCCAATTTCTCCGGGATCGGCAAGAGATTTAAATTGAGTATTAGTTTCTTAAACAGCCGACAACCTGTGTGAGATAATAACAGGACATATTAAACTTAATTTATTCTATTTAATTCCATTAGTCACACCCACCTGTCACCAAGTAGAGCGATGTGTACTGGAAGTAACCGATGTAGGGCCTGAGACTCTTGAAGCTGCCCGCCTCCTGGAACTTGTCCAATTGCTTTCGGAGCACAATCAACAGCACACAAACTAAATGCGCCGGCAACCAGCCATAAAACTCCAGCACAATACGCGACAAGGCATCCGCATAGGAAAATTCATAGCTAAAAGAGAGACAGAGAAGGAGAGAGAGAGAGAGAGACAGAGAGAGAGAGAAATGTAAGCATTCAGTTTAGCTAAATCTGCCCGTCTCCAAGGATGCGCTATTACAGTATAGAGTAGACATGTCCAAATCGATAAGCTATATATTCTTGATCAGCACCAACAGCCGAGTCGTTTTTTTAATAGAGATATCTTGTCTGAACTTTCCATTTAAGAGTTTCACTTTGCTTCCTATATATAAACAAACTCATATCAACATCAAACAGCTTTATCAAATAGAAAGTATCGATCGAAAAATTTGTTTTTGCATGGAAAACTTGGTCGCTTTTTAAGATATCTTTACTTAACTTAGTATTTATGAGCTTCACTATCTATTAACAAATCTACAAAGCTGTATCGAATCGTATATCTAGGTATATCATTTGCTTCCTATAGAAAAAATCGCTGGAAGATAAAGCGAACCTAAAGACAATTTATTTGAATTTGGCAAATTTTCACAAAGGCTGCAAGCCAGTTTTAAAAGAACACGATTTGATTGGGGAATTCCAATTTCTTTTCCACTATGAATCGAACTTTAAACCAAACTAGTTGGTCCAGAAAAAAAAAAACGAAACGAAACAAGGTTAGACACAAAAACCTAGTATCAAATATGTATGTGTAAAACCGGGTTTATGAACCGAAATTTGTATTGAAACGCGAACCGAACCAACGCCTTTTCATTTGTATGCAGACTGTGCAGACAATTGCAGACAATTTGCACTTATAAAGGTTACAAATTTTCACACATGCGCTAATAACCAGTCAGTCAGTCAGTCAGTCAGACAGCCTGTGTGCTTACCTAATGCGATAGCGACAAATGGGATCCAGGAACAGGTCCAGCATAACTGGATTCAATGTGGTATTATAATGCCTGGGCATCAGTGTGGGCACATTAACATACAGGCCGGGCTTTTGATCCGGTGAGCTGCAATTTGAAGCAGACAATTAATATTTACGCTTAGCTCTAAGCGCACGGAAACCTACGTCAGTGTCTGATAGCGGTCAAAGCCAGCGGCCCAGGGCACACACAATCTGGCTGTGATGCGATAATTGGGCTGCAGACACTGCTCCGGTTCAATATAGATGCGCAGTCCCTGATACGGCTCGATCAGATCGGCAATGCGCAGACGATAGTGTAGTGTGCCCTGCAGAGTTTCGTTGACGACCGTGCGTCTACCATAGGCATACCAGCGCGGCATGCGTATGTCCAGGATGCGCTCCTTGGGATCGTATATGTCCAGATTGTAGCCGGTGCGCTTGCTGCCCGGCGGCAGCCGCAACAGCAAATGCGTCCACTGTTGATACGTTTTGCGTAGATTGTGCAAATCGAGGACTGCAATGCTGCGCGGATCGCTTTCTGCATTGGGCAGACGCTGGATGAGATGGGTTAGCGGTGTGGCCTTTTCGCTGCAAACCAACCAATTGGTGTGAGTGTGTGCATGAGCGTATGTGTGTGTGTGTGTGTGTGTGTGTGTGCACTCACCAGTAGTTTTCTTCGGTGTCGTTGTGCCTATGTGACTCGCAGCCAAACAGCCAATTCTCATCGCTCTCAACATTCAAAGCCTCAATAGCAAGTTTCTGCGGGGAGGTGGGAGTAAAAGTTAGAAGCAGGTAAAAATTGTATCAGTCGGTTGCAACCGTCCGCGTAATACTCTATTCACAGTGTCATATAAATTTTTGCAATTTTTGGGCCTCGATGTTTTGGCAACTAGTTGGGATATTTGCTGACTCTAGCATTTAGTCCTTGTCCGCCGTCTTCTTACCCTATCACGGACTACATTTCAATTTTCATGTCAGACGGACAACTAATATTCTCTCTTTGACACTTTGCGTATAGAGTATAAACAGCTGGCGTAAAACTAATTTGCGTGGCACCTTGAAACGCTCTTGACGCTTTATGCCGATCAGCTCATAATAATGACTCTTCAGGCCATTGGCAAAGAATTTGTTAATGACCAGGCGACGCTCCTCGTGCCAATCGCTGTGCGTCTGCAGTTTCATCAAGCTCTGCTGCCGTATCCTCGGCTTCTAAAATGTATAGAGAATTATAGAACATGCAACAATTGTAAGACAAATGCCAACCACAAAATGCGCCACAGCGGATTGCATATTGCGCTGTTTGTTGCTGCTAAAGATGACGGTGCCATCGTCCCGACGCTGGGAAATGCTGAACAGGAAACGATTGATGACCTGCATGAACTGCAGACACCACACGGCAGACAAATGATCGCAGCTGAGGCTTACGCGCGGTATGGCCGAGGTCTGGAAGGCAGGAGCAAACGTTTAGCAGTGAATTTAAAAACAAGTACTGGGCTTCAGATCTGACCATGGCATGCAGATCATTGAACTGCGAGGTGGTCAGGCCGGCCTGCACCAGCAGATCACGATTGCCACCGCCTGTGGAAATGAGCAGCACATTGTCCAGCTTAGCGGACAACTTCTGGCTGGCCATGCTCTGTTCGCTGGGCGGTTTTTGGTGCAAGCTCTGGCACACATTTGTTTCGATCGACGGCCGTGTGGCGGTGCGTGTGCGGCTGAGTACCTCGTGTGTTTCCCTATAGAACTGGTCCAGATGCGCATCCAAATTGAGCACTGGCTGATCGAGTGGCGTCGATATGCTTATAATTGCATTTATGTGCTGCCCAATTTCAGTATCCGTCAGCACCGATTGCGCCAGCTTGCCGCCCATGGAATGTCCGATCAGGACAATCGGGCTGGTCTGGCTGTACAGCGCGGCAATTGTCCGTATGCAGTGCTTGAGAAATGATTGCTGATGGTACATATAACCGCCATAGGCCGCCGACAGCTCCTCGTCGTAGTCAATCGTATAGTAGTCGAGATGTATGCCTGCTTCGGGATGTTCGCGTGCCTTCCGCAACGCCACCGACGCCAGGGAGCGCACCTGCTTGTAGGATCCGGCATTGCCGGGCACAAATATCACCGGTGCGCCAGTCATGCGCATCTTGAGCGGATCCAGGGTCTGACGCACACCTTCATAGTAGTAATATAGACCATAATTGGGAAACTGTTTGTTGGCACTAAATCTGACGCGCTGTTAGAAAATATATAGTTATCAATCCTCCAAATGCAACGGTTCTGTTAACTTACTGCAAATCTTGGCTCACCAAACATGTATGTCATTCGACAGGCGTTGGGCTCCACCTCGACATGAATATGTCCAATGCCGTAGAAGAAACTGCATATTGAAGCAATCACCAGGAGGACTGCACAGTTTCTGAACACAATCATTTGCGTTTGATGCGCGCTTTGCAGCTATATTTATGCAGCGGTTTCTTGTTGTTATTCAGCTCAACCAGAGTTGCCAAATATATCGAAAATTCTTGTTGTTAAACATTCGAGCAGCTAGAGATGGGCGCGTGGTATCGTGATTGCTCTCCGCGACTTGGGCACCTGCCAACAGCTGTTTTGTGTATACCTACGAAAAATTTTATTACACACTTGAAACTTCCGTTTCGTTATTAATTTGTGCTCTTTTCTTTTTCGTATATGAATGCCTTAAACTATCACACATTAAGAGAATCGATACCGATACCTGTAAAATATCGCGAAAACTTATGCGAATTAGAATTTACTGTTAATAATTAGTTTGCACTTGCTAGATTCTGCATAAATTACCTATAATCATATGACTACTAAAATATATTACATATTATGTCTGATGAGCATTAAACAACGAAATAAAGATTTCGATATTGCGTCTTTAAATTAATCGAGATCGATAACGTGGCTTGCACACATTAAACACGCATACCACAGTTACAATATAAGTACGCAACACACACACACACTCATGCGCACTGCTGAGAGCATTCCAATCGAATACCATTTCGATCTCAATGTAGATGTGTGTATTGATCATTTTTGTTGTTGCTGTTGTTGTTTTGTTGTTTGCTCGCATCTCGTTGTGGTAGTCCATCATTCAGTTAATGAACGCGCTCGCGCTCGCACTCGCGCCACACCTCCCCTCTCGTCGCAGTCAGCGCCCCCGCACGCCAACAACGCTTCGTAACGTGTTTACGTTTCTCTAAGCCAACGTGTGTTTCTGCGCCAGTGTGTGTGTGTGCGCGCTTAATTCGCGCATTGTATCTAGCTAACCAACTGGCTGGCTAGCCTCTGGGCCTGGTTGGTAAAAAGACAGGAGACGGAGAAAAAAAAGACAGTTATGCCCTGCTGCGTCGCGCCAATAATAAAAACAAGCTACATAGCTGACGCCGTCTCGTTGTCGTCGACGTCGACGTTGTCGTTGTCGTCGTTTGCCTCTCTCGCATCTGTCGATCGTTGATCGTTGTGTGTGTTTTGTCTTCTGTTTCGTTTTGTTAGTGTATGTCGTGGTGTCGATTATTGTTGTTGCTGCTGCCGCCGCCGCTGCTGCTGCTGTTGCTGTTGTTGTTACGCGCTGTGACTGACTTGTTCAATGATTTAGTAAAATATTCATAGCTCATTCCAAAACTTGTTCTTGTGCCTGCTGCAAATACGACAAAATAAAACGCGCTACGAAATTCAATTTCTATGTATCTATCAAATTAATATATATTATATATATCCGAAATGTTTTCTATGTGTAGTAGTAGTTAACAATTGTTTGTGTTGTGTTTTGTTTTTTTTTTTTGGTATTTTATTGTTATTTGTTGTAGTTATACACACAGCATCTATATGCTTACCTAGCTATCAATCAATCGATCAAAGTCTTTCAAACCGTCGGCGTGTGTCTCCTGCGCCTACTTCCCACTCATTCACTCTCTCGCTCTTTGTCTGTCACTCGTGTGCAATTCAAATACGCCGCCAAGCCACCCCCCAAAAGTCCACCCACAAATTGAGTGAGCCCTTATTATCACAAAAAAAAAAAAACATTATTTGGAATAATAAGTGAACTGTATATCACAATGGAGGTCTGGCGATCGCTAACGGTTGGCGCATTTCTAGCATTGGGATTTGTTTGCTTCTATGGCATGGTGGAGTCGTGCAATGAAGTCGTCTGCGCCTCGATAGTGTCCAAGTGCATGTTGACGCAGAGTTGCAAATGCGAGCTTAAGAATTGCTCCTGCTGCAAAGAGTGCCTCAAATGCCTGGGCAAAAAGTACTATGAGGAGTGCTGTAGTTGTGTGGGTAAGTAATCAGATAGATATTTACAACAAAATATATATGTGTGCATATACATATGAATCGATGATGTGATCTCTGGTGTGACAATATCATTATTCATTATTGCGCTGTCGCAGTCGCCTTGTTTTTGGTTCATCTGCGCGCGTGTGGGTGAGTGTGTGTGTGTGTTTGTGCCTATGTTTGTGTGTGTGTGTGTGTGTGTATTTGAGATGTGCCAAAATAGATATCGTGCGCTGCAGCCATCGATAGTTGAGCCGCCGTTTGAAACTGTATTGCAACCATGCAATAAAGTTGAACTTTAACACCTATGTTGCTCCACTTGGTAACCATTTTCTCGTTTGCAGAGCTTTGTCCCAAACCCAACGACACACGGAACTCACTGTCCAAAAAGTCACACGTTGAGGATTTTGATGGCGTGCCAGAGTTATTCAATGTGCTAGCTACCACTGAGGATAGTGAAAGTGATTTTTGGGATGTTTTCACATTTCAAGTGGATTGGTCCAGGGGCAAGCCCAAACTGGATAAAGACGAGAAATACTATTTGAGTGCGTAAAATCCAATAACCCATATTGAATATATCTAATAACAATTTTTCGTCTGTGATAGAATTCAATGACAAAAATCTAGATGAGGCACGTGAGGAACGTGATAATACGTTGACAGTTAATTGTACGGTTATATATTTGGATCAGTGCGTATCCTTGAATAAATGCCGTCAAAGTTGTCAAACAATGGGCGCTAGCAGCTATAGGTGCGTAAAATTCACCAATAATACATTTATAAAACTTTGTTCAAGTAAAATAATTGCATTTTCTCCCTTTTAAGATGGTTCCACGATGGATGCTGTGAGTGCGTGGGATCTACGTGCATTAATTATGGAGTCAATGAGAGTCGTTGTCGGCATTGTCCGGAATCGAAAGATTTGGGCGATGAGTTCGACGATGAAATCGATGAGGATATGCAGGACTATGGCGATAGTATGGGTCCATTTGATGGCTCAGTGAATAGCAATTATTGATAGCAGCGAACAAATGCCATTTAAAGAACAAGAAAATTTAACAAATTAGTTACTCAATTCAGTGACATTATTATTGTGTAGTACGAAGTAATTTTGTATAGCATTATTATTATTATTATTTTTTTTTTATATTATATATATATAAGAATATTAAAGAATAGGCCCTTTTGATTGTTTTTCATATTGAGCAGCCCGAGATATTTTTTAAAACCGAAAATAAAGATTATACATAAAAATGAAATTAACGTGTTGATAAACGATAGTTTTGGCATGCGGGTCACACAAGGGTTAATACAAAATTTTCGATGAGAAGTATGCAACAACGACAACAAGCAACTACATATATATTTTATATGCAACAGAAAGCGAGTGCGGAATCCTCTCTAGCCATTTGTCCTACAAACTATAACAAAAAGATGTGCCTTTCAAAATGACAACATTATAAAAAATTAATAGTTTGCTCACAGCCCCCCAACAACATCGAACAGCTGATTGAGCGCTGCTGTCAGGCCAGCCGCTTTGCGCCGGGGTGGCAACTCTAATTCATGTTATTTCAAGCGAACAACATCAAGTTACGTATTCGAACCGGCGGCCACAAGTCGCAATTGAAGAAAAGTGGCTGGAAATTATGTTCAAAGGCTTGCGACATTTTAGAAATGTGCTGCAACGTGGACCCCACAACCTGGCGCGATGCCACGCCTACGTGACGCACATGAGCAATCCAAATGCCGTTGCCGCTGCCGCAACCGGATTGCCCAGCAAGCTGTGCGGCGCCGCAGGCCTAAATCGGCAGCTTATTGCGCCCGCCCTGCAGCCGCTGAGCTGGCGACAGGTAAGTGGCGACATAATTGAAACAAAATGAAACACACTTAACAATGTATGGCAATACAGATGCAAATGCTGCGGTCAGAGTACAAGGCAATTGTGGGCGTGATTGCACGTTCTCTGCAATTGACGCCACGCGAGGTGCAGCAATTGCATCTGCGCTGCTTATGCTCCCGCAAGACAGACACGGACAAGCACAGCAGCGGCAGCAACAAGGACAGCGGCAATGAGAGCAGCAAGGAGAGCAACAAACCCGCCAAGAGCGACAAGTCAACCGATCCGAGCAACGAAACGCCGCCAGATAGCGGCAAAGAAACGTCACAGGGGTCCGGCTCCGGCGAGGAGTCATCAAATCCCAACAACAACAAAAACAATGAAAACGATGAGAAAATGCGCTCGGTTCTAACTAAAGCAGTGCTTTGGCTGTTCACGATTTACATGTTTGTGGCCTTTATATCGTTGCTTATAACGCCGCGCACCGAGCGTCCCGAGGGTTCCACACGTTACGTTTCGTGGAATGAGTTTGTGCATCATATGCTGGCCGTGGGGGAGGTTAAGGAGCTGATCATACGGCCGGATATGGAAATGGTAACCATTATACTGCACGACGGCGCTGTCATCAAGGGACGAAAAGTAACATCCACCATATTCCATATGGCCGTTGCGGATGCTAACAAGTTCGAGGAAAAACTGCGCCTTGTGGAAAAACGTTTGGGGATAACAGACGGCGTACCAGTTACTTATGATCGGCAAACGGATACCACTGGCCGCATCCTGATGCTGTTGCTATTCTGCGCCCTGCTCATGTCCATTGCCACGCGCATGAAGAGCATGAAAAGCCCACTCAGCATGGACTCATTTGTTAGTAATCTTCGAATCCGTTCATTAAGCTTTTCCTAATTTGTTTTCACTTTATTATTACAGAACCAAATGGGCAGAGCCAAGTTTACGCTCGTGGATCCGTTTGATGGCGGACGCGGCGTACTTTTTCGCGATGTTGCTGGTCTTAGTGAGGCCAAGCAGGAGGTTAAGGAGTTTGTTGATTATCTGAAGACACCAGAAAAGTATCAGCGCCTGGGCGCCAAGGTGCCACGTGGCGCTCTTCTATTGGGTCCACCCGGCTGTGGCAAAACGCTGCTGGCCAAAGCGGTGGCCACCGAAGCGCAGGTGCCCTTTCTCAGCATGAATGGATCCGAGTTTATTGAAATGATTGGCGGCCTGGGCGCTGCACGTGTTCGCGACTTGTTTAAGGAGGGCAAAAAACGTGCACCCTGCATTATTTACATAGACGAAATCGATGCGATTGGACGACAGCGTTCCGGCACCGAAAGCATGGGCCAGGGCAGCTCCGGCGAGTCCGAGCAGACGCTTAATCAGCTGCTTGTCGAAATGGACGGCATGTCTACCAAGGAGGGCGTACTTATGCTAGCCAGCACCAATCGAGCCGACATACTCGACAAGGTAGAGGCCTGGCCACGGCTTGGATTCATTTGTCCTGCTTCCAGCTACTAATGAATTTTATTTGAATTTTTGCAGGCCCTGCTACGTCCCGGTCGCTTTGATCGTCACATACTTATCGATTTGCCGACGCTTCAGGAGCGCAAAGAGATATTCGAGAAGCATTTGTCATCAATCAAATTGGCTGAGGCGCCCAGCAGCTATTCACAGCGTTTGGCTCGCCTCACGCCCGGCTTCTCCGGCGCCGATATTGCCAACGTATGCAACGAGGCGGCGCTGCATGCAGCACGCAACGTACAACCAGAGGTCACCAGCAAAAATCTAGAGTATGCCGTCGAGCGTTTAGTAGGTGGGTTGCTTTGCATTGCCAGCAATTGGGCATCCATTCATTGTTTTACTGCTTCCAGGTGGCACCGAGAAGCGTTCTCATGCGCTATCGCTGACCGAACGCAAGGTGATTGCCTATCACGAATCTGGCCATGCGCTGGTCGGTTGGATGCTACCCAATTCGGATATTCTGCTCAAGGTGACCATTGTGCCGCGCACAAGTCTGGCCCTGGGCTTTGCCCAATACACGCCCAGCGAACAGCACTTGTACTCCAAGGAGGAGCTATTCGATAAGATGTGCATGGCATTGGGTGGTCGTGCGGCAGAGAATTTGATATTTAACCGCATCACAACCGGGGCACAAAACGATTTAGAGAAGGTCACCAAGATTGCCTATTCGCAGATTAAGAAATTTGGCATGAACGAGCGGCTAGGCCCGATTTATGTGCGTGATTCGGATGAGACTGGCGGCGGCGGTGGCACCAAACCCTTCTCCCGTGCAATGGATAGCATTATTGATCACGAGGCGCGCAACGTGGTCTCCCAAGCGTATCAAACAACCGAAGAGCTGTTGAACAAGCATCGCGACAAGCTCGAGAAGGTAATGTTACTATCTAACGCTCTCTTTCTCTTTCATTTAACTATGTCTCTCTGTCTAATGCTATGTGCACTATTGCAGCTGGCGGAAGCTCTGCTGGATAAGGAGACGCTCGACTACGATGAGGTGGTCAATCTGATTGGACCGCCACCGTTTGATCCAGCCAAACGTCAGGTGGACTCGGTGGAGTTTGAGCAATCGCTGAGGAATCTTGGCACCGATCAGCCAAAAGCTTAGCTCGAAAACCTTAATTTAGCTGTGGCTGACCCCAACACACTTTACTCCACTTACACACACCACACCGCACCGCCCACCCGCACACCCTCCCCACCCTCCCTCATACATTGTCAAACAACACACGCGCTCCTGCCACCTCTCTTTAGACAGCCGGTTCATGTTCAATAAATGTAAATAAAGTTGTTTACCTTTTTTAATGATTATAACATTGCACCGACGACTTGTTAAAGCCGCATTAGCCTACGAATTACCACTAATTGGTGCCCGTTAAACGTCCAGTCAAGTCGCCTGCCCTAGGCCCATAACCGATTCACAAACTCGCAACTGGTTAACTGTGCAAAATCTGTCATCGGGCTAAATGCTCGTACTTTTCCATATGTGTTTATTCATAGAGGGGTCTTTAGCCTATGCCTCATGCTGAGCTGAACTCTTGCACCCACTTGACACCTTGCAGCTGTCGTTTCACGTGCAAGCCATAGTTTAATTAAATGCACAGTGCTCACACGCTAATTGGAACGCCGCAGCCCAAAAATCTATTGCTTTCTATAGATACAAGCAAGTTTTTATAAGCAGATAACAATAAAGGAAGTTCTATTGGAAATACGAATTTTCGAGTTAGTGCAAATGAAGTGAATTACATTGTAATTTCTCGAAAGTTCCAACTGCTGGCAGTATTTGTTATCGAGTATTCACTGTAATTCACACTCAGTATTGATCAGTATTGGTTAACATAACCTATAAATGTACACGATCACGAGAAAATAAAAACTTTGTTAGGTTATGTGCGGCAATTGTCAGTTCTAAACTTATTCAAATTAGCTAGACAACAAAATTTATTCATATTTGATTGTATTTAATTATTATTATGCTAATAAAAACAATGCAATCTTTGTTAAATTCGATTACGTTTGTTTTGTTTTCGAACCTAACCTTAAAAAATATTTTTTAGGTTAGGTTCGTTTCGAGCTGATAAAAGCGGGCTGTTGTGATGTGTCTGGTTACTTTTTGGATTTACATAGCGCGAATCACATTTCCATTGAATTTCACCCTTAATATCTTCTATATGTGTCGATAGGCTCTATCTAATATAGCGGCCACATTTTAGTTGTATTTACTATGACAATATCAGGGTCTAGTCAATTAGTCTTACAAGTTTTGTTTACTTGACAAAAATGCGACACGTAAGTGCGCGGCCAAAGTGCTTGCTCGACTTACGAATACCCTGGAAATAATAATGTCGTGATTTTTGGAAAAGATCTTGAATAGAGAGTTATTAGCGGGATAAGTTGACTGTAAATAGCTAAGGCTAGAAAGGATTACGTAGATTAAGGATAGCTAAAAAAATATAATGAAAAGTTAATGTGACTTTAAGAAATCAGATGCATAGCTATTGTGCCTTTATGTGGTTCACAAAAACGATGCTTATATAATATAACTGACAGGACATACGCGAATGTGGATACCCGATCATTAAGTTGTGATTTTCGAGGAAAACTGGTTTCTGGCCAAGCTCATACGTCAATAAACAGAGCTCGCCTGTTTAATTTTAATTCGAAATAATTATAAGTATTAAATTTTGAAATATTCATCGAGCTATTAGCCAAGCAGCGACAAGCTAATCTACGTTCGTAGTTCGATTCGTTCGGATTAATATTCTATTTGTACTGCTAATGCATCCATAATTGCGACGACGCCCAACAGATTCACACATTTACACCTGGATCCATACAGAGAGACTGGCACTCTGTCGGGAATTGGCAGCCAGGCTTGAAGCTGGCATAAAAACGCATCGCACGCATTCGCAGCTCGTTAGTTGGGTATTTTCCGGCAGACAATGAAAATGTATAACTGGAGATGCCTTACCTGGTTGGCCATAGCAGCAATTGCTCTGGGCCATATTGGTGCCGGCGACGGCGATCCATTGCGTGAGTTTCGATTTCGTTTCCTCGGACGGAGCTAGTGCATCCACATTTTATAACTTTCCTCCCAATGCAGCCGATAAGCTGCAGCGCTGCCGTGTCGACGATGAGGTGTGTATTTTGCGGCAAACCCAGACCTATGCGCGTCTCTATAAGAACGGCATACCCGAGCGGAATGTGCCCAGCATTGATCCCTTCCAGCTGGGCACGCTGAGCATCAATAGCGGCGGCGACAGCGATTCCGTGCAGTTCAATCTGATCATGAGGAACACGACATTGCATAATTTTGCCGATACGGTTGTGTTCAAGACCGCCAAGGGCTTTACCAAGGATCTGACCAAGCCATTGAAGCTGCTCTGGAGCGTTACCCTGCCGGCCGTCGAGTTGCGTGCCAATTATGATGTCGAAGGCAAAATCCTGATCCTGCCCATCGTTAGCCATGGCAAACTTGTCATCAAGCTGAACGAAATGCAGTCCAGGTCGCGCATTCGTGCCACACCCGAGAAACGAGCCGACGGACACACCTATCTGAAGGTCACCGAGTACAAGTCGGTCGCCAAAGTCGCCTCGTAAGTATTAAAAATTCCGTTAACAGCTAGTTATCTTTATGTTAGCTAGAGATCTAACAGATAACATTAACATATCTGAATGTTAATTGAATGTGTTAAAGTTCAAGATCAAAGTGAGGGTTCAGCTAACATGCAGATATCTTCAGGCTAACTAGATATCGATAGGATAAGGTGAATGTTAATTGAATATCTTAAGGCTAAAGATCAAAGTGAGAGTTCAATATCTCAAAGTTAAAGCCTTAACATATCCTAATGTGAATTGAATACCTTAAAATAAGAGTTCAGTTAACTTGTGGATATCTTCAGGTTATCCAGATATCTAGAAGGTAATCTATCCCAATAGTAATGGAATATCTCAAAGTTAAAGCCAAAACATATCTGAATGTTAATTGAACATCTTAAAGTGAGATTTCAGTAACATTTAGATATTTGCATGTTAGTTAGCTACAAAAAAGATAACATGAACATATCTCAAATTTATTTTGATATCTCAAAGTTAAAACTGCAAGTGAGAGTTCAGCTATATTTAATCCCATGTTCCTGTCAAAGTAAATGTTGGTCTTATTTTTTTTCTTCTAAAGACATCTTTTGGTTTTTGTCAATAGAATATTGACGGAACAGTTGCGTTTCTTTTCTTTAGCAATTCAGATAAATTGTAGAATTTAAGTTCAATTAATTTTGTTTCCAGTGCAATGCATTGTAAAGTGGCAACTCTCCTTTGAAACTATCTTTGTCAATTGCAATGCATTGTAAAGTGGCAACTCTTCTTTCAAACTATCTTTGTCAATTGCAATGCATTGTAAAGTGGCAACTCTCCTTTGAAACTATCTTTGTCTATTGCAATGCATTGTAAAGTGGCAACTCTCCTTTCAAACTATCTCTGCCAATTGCAATGCATTGTAAAGTGGCAACTCTCCTTTCAAACTATCTCTGTCAATTGCAATGCATTGTAAAGTGGCAACTCTCCTTTCAAACTATCTTTGTCAATTGCAATGCATTGTAAAGTGGCAACTCTCCTTTCAAACTATCTTTGTCAATTGCAATGCATTGTAAAGTGGCAACACCACTTTCTATCGATTAACTAAATACTTTCGATGAATTCATTCTGATTTGCGATAAATTCAAATTTCTGTAAGCTCCATTTTACCATACAAATAATTAATTTATATAATTCTATATAAATTTCAAGGAAAATTAGATATGCTACCTGATCAATTTTGACATGCAGATTTGCTAACAGGGACAGGGACTTTTTCTGTTCTCCTACAGATCTTAAAATGTATATAATTCATTTTTTTTAGCGGACACTTTAATTTGACCAATCTATTCAACGATAATGCCGAACTGCGCGACAGCACACTGAAGGTGCTCAACGACGAGTGGGATGCTCTTTCAGCGGACATACAGCCCAAGATTACGGAGGCCTCGGATCGTTTCCTTTCAATTGCATTGCAGAAACTCTTGGACACTTTGCCATATGATGAATTCTTCGAAGATTAAAGATTCATATGTCATTTAATAACATTTTCAAACATAGATGTATTGTGATCTGAATATTTGTTTGGTTTTCAACTGTGAATATAAGATAACCCCTAGCCAGCCTTGAATTGCAACCTTTTTTTTCTTTTCTCAGGGAAAAACTTGGGAGAATTGATTTATAATTGACTTCTGTACTTCATACGACCTCCGATTTCATAGAGTATATACATAAATGCTTGATCACGACGAAAAGCTGAGAACGTTTGTTCTTTTGGAGATTATGCCATACTAAGAGACATTGATTGGCTTTGCTCGTGCTGCTTTTCTAGTTCTATTCTACTTATTCATTTTTGATTGATTGATTCATTTTCTATACATTACCTTTTCACCCATTTTCCACATGTGGAATCAGCTTGGAAGATTCCTAAAATTTAACTTGTGGTGTGTGCTTTGTTTTAAATAGCTTTCATGGATTTTTTATGTTTACCAGTTTCCCACAGCTGGGGATGGAATTTTCCGAAGTCTCGTGCACATACATCACACAAGATAACTGGAATTGATAACCAATCTTACATTCAATTAATCAATCATGTCAAATATATTTCGATTCCTTTTTCACAATTACGCGTGGAATTTAAATTGATCATCAATCCCCCATTTAGTCAATCAATCATGGCAAACAAAATGACTTCGATTTCGCTTTCCACCAGTTTTCCACAATTACGGGTGGAATTTTCCAAAGGCTCAAAAGGACTTCAAGTTCGATGATTGATTGACAATCATGTTTAGACAAAATGTTTAGACAAAATACTAACAATATTTATTGCTTGTTTTACCGTCTCTTTCTTTCTGTAATTGCAACGTTTATTGGGATATGAAATTTCTCGCTTGGGCACATAATTTGGTGTAAATGTTTTTTTTTTTGTTTTTTAACGTTGCCTTTTTTTCACGTACAAAACCGAATTTGATCAGAAAACAGGATAAATGAATCTATGTAGATAAACACGAAACGGAAAACTGTGAAAGAGAAGCGGATAATATTTAAAGATCTGTCATAAAATAGATATTGATTGTACCCACCTAAATAATGCTCAAGCGTTTGGTCTGGTTGTCCAGGCGAGGCTCGTCTGGATCCGGGATTGCGGCCTGGGTTATTGCTGCAACTGGATGTTAGGATTCGACACAACTAGAGCCGTCCCTTGGCCTGCTATCCGTCGCCGTGCTGCGTCTGGTCCTCCTCCGGATGCTCAACGATGGGCTGCGAAAAATTGATGGAAATTGAAATTGGGTTTCGTTTTTATACGCTATACCCATTCAAATTGTCTAAATACGGGTATCTTGAACTTGTGTAGAGCGCAGCTTCCGGCACCATAAATATAATCGTAATTGGGACGTTATTTTCGTCCGTGTCTCTAAAGAAACTTTAAATTTCGAGGAGTTAGAATATTTCGAATAAATCGATAAATATCGATTTAAAGCACATTTTACAGGTCCTGACTTTTGGGGGATACAATCTTGTGAATTAGAATTTATAGAAGTAGTGATTGATTGATTGATTGACTGACTGATTGATTGAAGATCAAGGCATAGTCTAGAACTTAAGAGTCAGAAGGTTGAACTTTTTAATGTATGTGAACATTGAAACGGATATACGGAAAATTCCATTCGTAAGGCTGGAAAATTTGTTGGAAAATGATTGTGTGTAAGAAGATGTGCACATGATGCGGGCAAAGCCGGGCAATATCTGTGTACTTTAGGTTAACTGTGTGTAGGGTAAAGTAGACTACAACATAGCTCACCTTAAGCTTGCGAACTTTCGTCTCCTTCTCATTGTCGAGCTGACTCTCAGAGCCGTCGGTTGTTTTGATAAAGGATGAGTAGAAGGAGGAGAAGCTGGAGCCATCCATGTCATCGCTGTTGCCATTGCTATCCGTGTATTTCTGTGAGTGGGAGAGAGCGAGAGAGAGCGAGAGAGAGAGAGAGAGTTGTGTGAGTTGGGCTTTTGTTCAATTTGGTTGCGATGGAATTAACGGATTGCACCTTTGGATTGTTGGAATTGTTCCGTTGATCGGACGAACCTGTCGCCGATGTATTGGGCAACTCAGACAGCTCCTGTTTGGACGCATCCTGGGCTGATATTTTTGGGCTGGTTTCCGCATCGACCAATGTGTCCTGGAGATCGGGTTTGTGCAGCTGTGCGGGTGTAATGGAATGGAAGGCGCCCGGCTTTTGGGTTGTCGTCGTGGGCACGGGTGCCATCTTAACCTGTTGTGCCTGTGGATTGATGGATGGGATGAGTTCGTTTCGTTGCGGATTAATTGTGCTCTACGCACCGTATAGATAGACTTGTTGTTGTTGTTGTTGGACTGGGAGCCAGTGGACTGCACGGACATCTGGACGGCACTCGAGACACTGGAGAAGGGCATCGCCTGGTACGCATAGAAGAGCGATGGATGCGGATACATGACGCCGGCCATATATGGCATGTGCATGGGAGTCGCAGCTGTCGGCTCCTGCTGGGATGTGCTCGGAATGTCGCCTTCGGCATTCGGACTGTGCTGGACTGCTGCACTGGAACTGACGCTAATCTGGGCTGCGGCACTTCCAGCTGCGGCACTGGCCAGCGGTCCGGGTATATAGTAGAAGGCAGGAAATAGACTATGCTGCTGCGAGAAGCTCTTCTGGGCAATTGACGTGTGCGTTGTGTGCACCGTGGGCGTGGTCAGGCCCAGCGAGAACGGCGGCCATAGATTGATGCTCTGCGGAAAGTTATAGCTGCTCTGGAACAGATGACTGACCGTCATGGGCGCCTCCCATTTGGTTGTCGTCATCTGGCCGTCCTCGGCTGGGCTTGTGCCCGCATTGGGCGCCAGCTTGGGCTTGTTGGCGTCACCCTCCCAGGAGTGGGTGCCGCCGCGCTTAATGGTCTGACCATGGCCGGGTCCGCTAAATTCGGGCATCTTCTCAATGACGGACTTTTTGCACTTTTCGCCGGTGCGTCCGCGCGACTCTCGATGCTTCTTTAGCATACATTTCTCCATTTCATCATTGTGCTTGTTCAGCAGGTTTTCGGTTAGAGTTATGTTGACCGGCAACGGATCGCTGCTGCCGCCGCTGGCGGAATTATCGCCGCCGCCGCCGCCGCCGCCGCCGCCGCCGCCGCCGCCGGAGGTGCCGGTGCCCGTATTGCTAGTGTTTGTCACACTGCTCATGCGCACATTGCTGGCGGTTGTTAAATTGCCAGATGAGCCGCTGCCACCGCTACCCTCAAAGCCATGCACCGGACTGAGAGCATCCTCGCGTGCGCAACTCACATAGGAGGACTCCAGGTTTGGCGGATCGTTCTCTACGGGCGCGGTGACGGGCTTGCTGTTGAAAAAACGCAGCAGGTTCTCGTTATAGTTTAGCTGATTGTAGCTGGGCGGCGTCTCAATGGAACTCTTACTGTCATAATAGTCGTGATGCGGCGATATTTCGCCCAGCATGACGCTATCACGCTCCGACACGGTCAGCTCGTTCTCGTGCGGCAAGTCCAGCTTCAGATCTGCCCGGGCCACCTCGTCCATGAGCGTTTCCATGAAACTGGCCAGAGCCTGACAGCGACGCGACACCTCCTGCTTAATCGTATCGGATGGACGCGTCACCGTCTCCGTCAGCATCTTAAAAATATCATCCTTAATGCGCGCGTTCCGTTCCTGCAAATCCTCCGATATCTTGGGCATTTCATTTGGCGCTAACTCAAAAACATTGCACTGCTTGGGACCTGTTAATGACATCTGCAGTTAGTCGACTGTTCCGGGGAGCTCATTATTCTCAGCATTTTTCCTAGCTATCCTTAATCCCTGTACTATATGCTTGCCTATAAGCGGGTGGATCCCTTAGGGATATCTCTTTGTTATTCTATTGGAAGATCTCTTGGGTATATCTTACAGCTTCGATAATCGCATTTTGTAGAATAGTCCCTGTACCATATGCTTGGTTATAAGCTGGTGGACTCCTTAGGAATATCTTGGAATACCTAGGAATATCTTACAAAGCACCTTGTTATTATCTTAGCGGACCTTTCAAAACATCTTGGATAGTCGCATTTTTCACAATTTGGTAAACATTTCTTCTAGCTATAATATCCTTTACCTCTGTACTATATTTTGGCCTATCATCGGGTTGAACCCTTAGGAATATCTTGGAACATCTAACAAAGCTCTTTGTTATTTTATTGGGAGATCCCTTGGGTATATCTTACAGCATCGATAGTCGCATTTCCTACAATTTGCTTTATCCCTGTGCTATATGTTGGGCTATCCACTTTATTATTTTCGGAGATCCCTTAGGAATATCTTGGAATAGCCTTGATCCTTATCATAAATGTTTGGGCATACTCGGGTAGGTCCCTTAGGATAAGCTAATAAGGCTCCTTATTATGATTGTGAGATATCCCCTAGGAATATGCTGGAATATCTAACAAATAAAACTGCGTTCTTAATCCAAAGATATGGCATGTCATTAAGAGAACCTTCTCCTATCCTTGTAAGTGTTTTATGATCTATGGATTTGTGCAACATGCAGAAGCAAAGGAGACTCCCTTTACACTCTATTTATTTCAAGTTATTCCATAAAGTCCCCTTATTATATATATTAGATGTATTTGTATATAAACCTTAAAAGGATCTGGAAAACGCCTTGAAAAGCAGAACGGAATTCCTCTTCGCAGAGTGTCACACCCAATGTAGTTCCATATTATCCACGCCCTTCGAATCCCAATAGACTTTTGCTTTCGTTTTGGGAATTTCTTTTTGAAATAACCAAACGAATGCGACTTAAGTCCTTTAGTCCTTTAGATCGAATGGACTCTAAAGTCTTTTTTGATTCGCTTTTCAACATCAGGTTTTTCTTCCTTGAATCCTTTTAACCTCAGAAAACCAATCTCCTTTTAAGGTAACCCCGATAAAAACCCCTTTCCACAACTTTTCTTCTTGCTCCGTAATCCATTTCTATATGAGGCCATTTGCAATCGACCTACCCTGAAATACGCGATGATGTCCCACGACAAATTCCAGTTTGCGTGACCAGGGATTCACAAAGCTGGTCCATTCCGTCTCGAGGAGTATGTAGCAACCATTTTGGATGAGAAAACGATAGGGTTTGCTGCTGAAGGCGGAGCCAGCGGACTGGCCCTTCTTCATGACCTTCTCGTAGATATCCTTAATGATAGAGAGTTCCTCGTGATGATAGAAATCCATAATCGAGCGTCCAATGAGATCCTGCGGCAAATAGCCAAGTGCAGACACCGCAGCGGGATCCACATGCGAAATGACGCCATCGGCCGAGTGGCGTATGGCAAACTTGGGGCCCTTCGGTGATAGAAACTCATCTGGCTCTGTGGAACAAAGTTTTGGTGGGCTTAAAAAAAGCGTCGCATTCAATTAAAAACATGAAAGCGTACTCGAGTCAGGAGTGTCCGACCCTGAACCCAGCACGAAGATACCTTAACAAATATGCCAGCTTTTTTGATATGCATCCGATTCTCCGTGAAATTTTCGGGGCTCTTAAAACCGTTAAGATATTGATAAAAGACTATTAGCTCGTTCCGCGTAGGGCATACGAGAATATATATTTCTAATTTCAAGCTTCTAGCTTTGCCAGTTTCAGAAATTGTCGCGTTTACACAGACGGACGGACTTTGGCCAGATCGACTCAGGTCTTCGTCATGATCAAGAGCACATATATGTATATACTTTATGGGTTTGACCGGGTCTTAACAACCTTTTTATCCATTCTCTGTGGATTGAAGGAATAGGCATGTTGAGCACCCGCCTTTGTAACTGCTCTAGATAGGCGTGGCTTAGATGACCAGCAGGGTCAGCATTAGGGTCAGGTCTGTACAACCTTTGTACCCATTAGATTGGGGCTATTAAATAAAATGGTTAAGCACCCACCTTTGTAGCTGCTCTTGATGGGCGTGGCTGAGATGACGAGCAGCATACTGGTGCCATTGGAGAGCGTGTAGCCATCCGGCAGCGCCTCCTCGGGTGCCTCGCGGAACGACAGGCCGAGCCGAAAGGGCTCATAGCTGATCGGACGTCCGATGACACCAAAGCCACCAGATTTTAGGCCGCGATAACGCCGGAGCATCACACAGAATGTCGTTCGGGCTTCCTTGGACTGGCTGCAGAGCGACTCGGCAATGGGTATGCCCGTTGTTATCTGACTGGCGAATGTGGCGCGATCCTTGATGTGCACGAAATCGATGAAGGATCGTCCCAGCCACATGTCCTGGGGATAGCCCAGCATATCGTTTATATTGGGCGTGGTGAAGAGCACAACGCCATCGTGCAGGGAGATGATGCAAGAGAAGCTGTCCTCCTTGGCGCGGTCCTGCTGCTGCTGCTGCAACTGCTGTTTGCCGAGGCACGCGGCATGCGACTCCAGTCGCCCCGGCGCCCATTCGCCCGTCTTCTCCGCACCGTGGCAGCCATCGATGGTGACGGTAACGCTGGCCGTCATCGGATTGCCGCCCGGCTGCTGGCTGCCGGGTATGATCATTTTGGCTGTTATTGTTTCCACCTGCTTGGCCTGCTCCGGCTTGGGGTCATTCTCGTTCACGTCGTCATCCGACTGCGGTTTGTCGCCTAGCTCGTGCGGATCGCTTGGCGTCGATTCGCGGAGCTGTTGTGTGTCCTGCAGCTCCTGCAGCTCCTGCTGTTGTTTTTCGCAGCTGCCATTGTTCGGGCTGGCCAGCAATGGCTCCTCGGCCTTCTCCAGGGATTTGGTGTTTGTTGTTTTTGTTGTTGTTGCCTGTGCAGCCGTTTTGGCCTTCTTCTTCTTGCGCGACTTATCCTTGTTGCGCTTGACGACCATGTCGCTGCTGCTGGCCTGGGTAGAGGGCTTGCCGCCATAGCCGCTGCTGCCGGAGGAGTTGCTGCCGCTCAAACGGGACTTGGAGCTGCCACTGATGGTCGGAGGTGGGTTGTCAATAAATAATTATGGTTGAAGAAATCTCCTTCTGAATCTCACCTGCGCTGCGATTGACTGTTGCTGCAGCTATTCGAGTAGGCCGAATCGGACACCTTAGTATTATGCGTCGACTCTGTGGACTCACCTTCCATTTTGTATTTGTTCTTTTATAATAGTCTTGTGGAATAAATATCTTTTAAAGTATTTAGCTTTAACTGTTGCTTGCACCCAAAAGAATTCTATGAAAAAGAAGATATGGAAAATTATGTTTAAAATTATTATTTTATTTTGTTTAGCCGATCTTCCGATTTCAGTTGCACAAGTCATGAATCCGCATTAATGATGTTGGCCTGTTCTAAGCCTCAAAGAATACTTTAGGTGCCTTCGAAGGTTGGGCCAAAAGATGGAACAGAGATGTTCCCAAAATCTTCCATTCAAGGATCACATAAGCGTAGCTATCGCTCCTAAACTGTCTTGAATTTTTCAATAATTCACATAATGAACTAATTCTAAAATAGATTTACTGTTAATTCATCGCAAAGTCTACGTAATGTCGTCACGTTTAACGGCAGCTAACTATTGTGAATGCAACCCGAGTCAGTATGCAGTCGCTGGCGTCGAAAAAAAAAAGAAAAATGAATACGTACACAGATAGTTGTTTACGTATGCATCAAGCAATTGGAAGAATTCCAAATCATAACAAGCGCAGCCAACTTAACAAGCGAGCGCAGGCGGTTGGTGCTGCCAGATCGTTTAATTAATAAAAGAAAACAATTTGAATTTAAAAAGGTTGCAAATTTCACGAAATCAAGCTCCTTATATTACGTAGTTATAGTAAGAACTATTATAATTATTAATTAAATGATTTTTCTTTGACTTATGTTTAGCTTTTAAGCGAGTTTCATAAAGAGAGGTCGCTATTTAAATTATCCGGCCCTGCAAGTAGCAGTTTTTGGCCCAGAGTATTGAGCCTTAAGACTTCTCTGCTGAGCACACAGCTGGCTGGACGCCATTGACTTACGTCATGCCCAGCGACATAATTGTGACTAAAACTGAAACGTCTCGAATTTCGCCCTGTCTTTGCAAAATCGCTGACTATGTGACAGAAAGCGGGATTAATTCCACAAATTGAACTAGCAAGCGGAATTATTTTTATTTACAAATTTAGTAATCGCCATTTGCTTCATGTGCCACATTCTACAGTAAACATGCAACTAAGTTGACAATTTGAATTTAAACAATTAGATTTAATCAAGCGCAATTTGTGTAATGTTTGATTTAGTTGTTGTTCTACTTTACGCAATTCAGTATAAATTAGGTCGGTCAGAATCAAATTTATTTTATAGCTTTTAATTTGTTTACTGTCATGCATAATCGCTTCGCAAAAAACACCAAACAGGAAAAGAAAGGAGAAAAACACACAGTAAATTGGAAAAGAAGGAAGTTCCTAGTTAGGCGCTCTTCCCCAGATCATTCTTACTTGTTTTACTTTGTGCCATGTTCGAAAATGTTATATAATGCAGTTTAGTATTTGTATAATATCAGAGTGAAATATAAATTCTCTGATTTTCAATATTTATTGAAATATAATGTTTCTACAATTCCTCTTTGTGCCTTGTTCGCAAATGCTTTACTGGCAGCGAGCGTAAATTAGGTATGCAACTTGCAGACTTCAAACCTCTTCGAAACAATATTGTAGACATTTTTTTCAACATTTCCAATTTGACTCAGCTAGTATTAGATACTCGCCCGGCCGTCTAACGAATCAATTAGATGGTTTGTTTACTCTAAGGAATCAAATGACAATTGAGAGCGTGCCTTTTGTTGTTTGCTCTGATTGAGCGAACAGGCTGGATGCGTGGGAGGTCAATCAGTGTTGGGCAAATAAGATAAAACAATTTCAACTTTCTATAAAAAAAAAAACACTCACTTAATAGTAAATATGTACATATATATGTATACATATAAAAAAAAGAAAAAAAATAGAACTGAACTATGTGGCGTATGGGTAATATTTGGGCTCTGTTAGGGGACTACTACAATTTAAATGCACTTCCCATACGTATATGTTCACTGCTTTGTATGTATGTGTGTCTGTTTTGCTGTAAACTCGGTCTGCCACAAGCAATTGTTGTTTTTGTTGTTCTAAGCTCGTCTACGTTTTCTCTCATTCACTCTCTCTCTCTCTCTCTCTCTCTTGTACATACACATGCATCAAGCTGCTTGCAAAAAAAAAAAAAAAAATTGCACGGTAAACGTTAACAAGTTGCGTAGCTGTAAACAACAATACTGTTTATGTAAGATTCAATTGAGTTTTTTTCCACACATGCACATATACAAATACAATGATATTTAAAACGAATTCTAGTTGTTGTCATTTTGCACACTCTCTCTCTCTCTCGCTTCACGCTCACGTTCGTTCAGTTTAGGCGGTCTCTCGCGCTCTCTCTATGCCGATCTACGCATTGCAAATGCAGTTAGCATATGACAAAAAAAATATATATTTGCAATTTATATTTATGTATTTGTTTTAATAAATATTTATATGTTTTTAATTGAAGCACATACGTATTTGTTGCACCTAAGCTGCATCGGCACTTTAGCGAAAACGTATAAGTAACGAAATATGTATGTATATTCGTCTTGTTCAATATCACTTGCTGGAAACAGTTTGTACTTGACTTAAGACTTTTGCTGCCTTCTGGCTGTCGGTCCCAACCTACTTGTTGAAGACTCGTACGAATACTGACAACACTTTCGATAGCTGAGAGACGAAAAGCGCATTACGGCGCTGGCGTGTCAAGCTTTGCAAAAATGCACACACATGCACACTCACACAACTTGTGTGCTTCTATGCTCCAGCCCCCCTCCAGACACACACACACACACATACACACAGATTCATTGTAGCCACCACAACGTGCGTTCCTCTTCGGCAATTTGGCATTCGGCATTACTCGGTTTGATACAGTTTCCCCAGCCTTGGGCTTAACCCTTAGTGCACTTTTTTTTGTTGATTTACCTGAAAATTCAGTAAGATTAACTTTTGTGTGTTAAGTTCAGCTGCTTATTAAGCAGTTTTTTAAACGTTTCGATCTTTAAAAAGCTAAAATACGTGGAGAACAATTAATTATGAGAAAATTAAATGTATGGGAAATATACATATTTGATGTCTAATGTCTCAACTTTTCTTTAACAAAAAGTGATATTTGTATTATTAGGATGCATTTTTCAAAAAAGCATTTAATTTAGGTAATTGAAGCGCCTCTGAAAACGAAGAGTACCTATTAAGCATGGTATTAACAATATTAGGTACAAAATGAATGTGGTGCAATTAAACCATAGGCACACTGAAGGGTTAAGGTGCATATGGCTGCTGGGTACATGCTGTGAGCGGGGACATTGACGCGTGGTACCTACTGTGTAGGTGTGTTTGCTTTGCCAATGGGCCCCGATGAGGTGGTGGGAGGGGGGGGGGGGTCTTCCAAAGGGGTTTGGTTGGCGGCACGTTCACGCTTTCTTTTGTTACATATATCGAGCATTGGCTGCGAATCCAATTGTGCCTCAGAAATGTGCTATGCAGTCACGCATAGCAGCCACGTGAGTAGCTGTTGTTGCTTCTGTTCTCGTTATTGCCGCTTGCCGACTCCCAGTGCTGCGACAGCCCTCGCCTCTGCCGCCCCTCCCGCCGCTGCGGACATCAGTCACAGCTGATCACAATGACAGTGGCTTACTATTTAGATTGTATGGCCCAATTGCACGGCAATAGATGAATTTCGCACAATAGATAACTGGCGCTCGGTGTGGCAGCCTTTTAGGCGTTGCCAGCTGTTTATTTTCTTAGTAACCTGTTTAGTATATAATTGTGGCTATATCTATTGGATTTCCTTTGGATAGGCTTTTAGAAATTATATATAATACAAAATATAATATATATAATATAGCAATCCCCCAATAACTGAGTTTAAAAAGTTTCCTCGTTTACAAACAACTTTTGATAATCTATTTCGTTTGTAGATCCCTTAGATTTATCAAATATTTTTAATCAAATAATTTTCATCAAAGTTTTTTAACTTCTTCAAGGAATCAGCAATAGGTCATCCCATCCCCATCACTAATATCATGAATATGTAAATTTATTATAATGTATATTATATTAACCACAAGCAAATGTAGTTTTCGCCCTCTGTTATTGGCGCTTTCAGTTATGGGAATGCAATTTGTGTGGACAAATTATGAAAGTCTTGCGTCAACGAAATTCGCGCTATCCGTAAGAGAAGCTTTCACTTTATTCTCCGTATGGGTTCGGATAAATTTCCGTTTGGCCTGTTACACACATTCGCACAAAAATAAATGGAATACTGGGTTCGGGAACAAACAAGTTGCAGTCTATTATGCAAGCGAATAGGGGGTTTGCCCTTGGTACAAAGAACTGGCTAAGCACGAGACGATGCTTCACTGGTTAGTGGAGAAATTTGCGTTGCTTTTCGATTTCCTGGAAAATAGAAAACAAGTCAGAACGCAGCAATCGAATGTGCTCGACTACCAACTCCCCTTTATCCCTGAGTCAATATAATATTTAGGTTCTTTGCAGCACTTTCCGCTTCTTTAAATCATAAAATATATCGCAAAATATGAATGCCAACACACAACTTGTATGTTTGTGGTCGGATCTTCATGAAAGCTTAAGGGCATATATATGACATACAAATGGGTGTGTATAACAAATTACCTGGCTCTAGCCTTAAAGAGTGGAGTGGTGGAGGTTTCTAAAAAGGGAAATATCGCTAATCTGTGTATGCCATAGAGATCCTACATACCAAATTTGGCGCATCTAGCTTACATAATATTCTAGCTATTTTAAAAAAACCAATTCTCAAAATCGATTTTTATCGATACTTTGCATGTGTGACCAGTTATCGTTAATTTCTCAAATTTCAATTGCCTTCATTTCGTGTAGTTTGTGAGCTTGACGACTCAGCTCCTAGTTCTGATCAGGAATATACATATATGCTTTTTATTCTACCTGTTGCACACAATTGCACAAAATCAATATGCCCATTTTGACCCAATTGCAATGGGTAAAAGGTATTTAAAAATAAAGACATCTCCCGCTGCGACGTTGCGCTGGTTCAGCAAGAAATGCCATCGGCCGTGAAATAGGTAAACGTAATCCCGTCTGGTATTTCACTGGGCGACTTCGTGGGTGGGCGTGGCAAATATATATATCGTTTCTAGTGATGTTTTACCATGGAAAAACTGCTGACGTTAGCTGATAGATTTGTAATCTGTGCAGTTATAAGTTCAAATTTTCTTGATTGGGAGCGCAGTATATGTAGAAGGGCGCTACGAGAACTCGTCTTATGACTATGGTTTAAGCGATCAAATCGAAGCAATAGGAACGATAAAACAAGAATTATACTAAAGAATAAAATGAATAAAAGTAAAGAGATAAAGGGGCTTCTATATTTCCACACAATATATTAAGAACTTGACATATGATTATGATATGAGAGCAATAGGAAAGATCAAACAAGGACAATATAAAGAAAGTTTTTGAGCTTGATTTAATTTTATTTTAATTCCCATTTGATTGAGTAGAAAATCTAGTTAGTGGTTGAAAAAGTGCAAAGGGGAGAGAAGTCTTTAATAACAAATAATAGTAATAATAATAATAAATATAAGTGAAAAGTTGGAGAACTTGACTTAAGAATAAGACTAGATAAAAGTGAGATAAGATAAATAAAATGTTTGTGCTTCTACATAAAAGTCATCAGATGAAAGATAAATATATTTTCGAGAGAGAAGGGGAAACATTAATACATGAATCCTTCTAAGCAGGGCGAAATAGGGGTACAAATAAGGGGTGCAAATAGGGGTAATAATAAGGGGTAGCAATGGGAAATACCTGAATCGCTGGAACAAGATATTTTAGCTAAAGGAAGAAAACAACATGATTGTTGCCCTTAAATGAAAAAAAAAAACTTGTTTTTCTATGGAAAACTATTTTTGATTTTCCTTGTACAGCATTTTCCAAGGTGATTTCATATATATAAGTCAAACTTGGCGCAAATCTTAACCGATTTTTATGTACTACTTCTGAACTCACAAAAAGTTGTTGAATTTGGTATTAGAGAAATATTTAATTTTTTCTCAATTTCTGTCTACAATTTATAAAGTTTAAAAACTGCGACTTGGGCCGCTTAACGCCGGGTAATATTGCAAATGTGCGACGGATCATTCGCAACTCTGGACGCACACGCATGTACGCTCGTAATATCACGTGGCTAGATATTTTTATATAAATTTACCTGCAGACATTTGAATTATGAACTTATTTTTTATTTACCAGTGGAGCTGCACATGTTTGCAGTTGGGGACGAGCGGAAAGAAACATGTGTGTGTACATGCATACTACATACATACATTACATATGTACATATATACATACTTACATACATACATGCATACTACATACATACATTACATACATTACATATGTACATACATACATACTTAAATACATACATGCATACTACATACATACATTACATACATATAAATGTACATACATACATACTTATATATGTACATGTGTGTGTACATGCATACTACATACATGCGCATACACACTACATATGTACATGTGTGTGTGCATGCATACTACATGCATGCGCTTGCACACTTACATACGTACATGTGTGTGTGTACATGCACACTTCATTCATACTGCATATATGTGCATACATACTTAAATATGTACATGTGTGTGTACATGCATTCTTCATTTCTGCATACATGCGCATACACACTTACATACAAACATGCGTGTGTACATGCATACTTCATACATATGTACATAACATATGTACATACATACATGCCTAAATATGTACATGCATACTACATACATGCGCTTGCACACTTACATACATGCATGTGTGCATACACACTTACAAACATACATGCATACTGTATACTATACATACTATATAAGAATACATATACACATACATATGTACATATTTACATACATACATAATTACCTACTTTCATATGTACATAATTCCTTATATATGTACATACAAACATACATAGATAAATATCATTATGCACACACACACAAAAAGTTAATTTGATTCCTGTCACTAAACACTTTATTGGCTAGCATGCAGCCTGTAAGGCCAAGTTGAACTCATGAGAATCGATGAGGAGGGCTGTATTGGGGGAAACGTTTTGTTAACATTTCTTAACCGCATGCATAAAAAAGCGCAAACACGGGTTAGATCTAAAAATATCTCATATTTTTCCGCGCAACGGGAGATGAACTTGGTCTGCGTCTGACATAAGAATAAATGCACACATTCATACATACAAAAATACATACATACACCTATATGCACACGTTATTTTCATTGCCAGCACAGCGTGATATAACTGAACACATGATATTAACGCAAGAAAATTGTCAGGCTTACTTTAATTCGTGAGAATCGAGGAGGAGGGTTTGACGAAAAGATTTCAGAGCAGCGGGAAGTAAATATATGAAAACATACATGCATTTGCATATATGTACACATACATACATACAAACATACATATGTACGTGCATAGTACATATACATATACATATACATACTTTATGAATACGAATGATGAATATGAATATAATAAGTCACATTCATTCTCACGTACACATTTACATACATTCACACAGTTATACCTACACATGTAT